AGCACCGGAATATTTGATGTTTTTTATAACCTAAGGATCTACTAATTTAGAATTGAAAAAAAAAAGTAGGTGCTTTCCTTGTTAAAGTAATGAGGGGATTGCATATTTTTATGGTGAACATTTTGCTGAGCCACAGGTAGGTCTGGGGGCTGACTCTGTTTTGTTCCAAGCGCTCAAAGAGTGGAGGGACTGAGTGACTCAGGTGGCTTTGGACCGTTGTTGGCTAAGGGACAGCTAAAGGACTGTGCGCCCGGATAGCCCGCATCTTCGAATTTTCTTGTGGTAACAGATACCTCTGTGGGGATCATCCCTGAGTTTTATGAGAAGAGGCCAAGACAGAGTTGCCTTCTCCTGGGAACCCTATTGTGTCTGGCCCAGAGCCTGGCTGACCTCCCACTGCCTCATCCAGGTCCTGAGCTGGGTGGGAACGAGGGCTCTGGTTACACCCGGCCAACCCAGCCGGCAGCCTTTGTGACGTGGGTCTCTGGATCTGCCCTTCTGGGCACAACCTTGCTTCCCCATGGGCAGCTGAGCACAATAGACCAGATCGGGTTTCTGGATGTGGGGTTTGTTTTCTCCCCCAAATACTTAAAAGTGGGCGAGGATGCCCCACCCCGTGCGTTAACAGGAAGTCTGTTGAGGACCCCAGCAATAGGTGGCCTCTATCTGAATCAGGATGGGGAGGGTTTTTTTTTTTTCTCTTGGCTCTCTTGATTATTTTTTTGAGTTTTCTAATGATTTAAACCAGTTCCTTACTTGTGTGAAATAAGTTGTAGTCAGGACAGCATTGTTTCTGTTTGCTTGGCACTGGGGGACAGACCATTCCCCAATCTGCTGTCAGCCCTAGCAGAGTCTGCCGGGACTGAAGCTTTTCTGGACTTCCCCGTAGATTTAATGCAGCATCAGGAAAAACAAAAACAAAAACAAAAAAATCCAAAAAAACACAAAAAACAAAAAACGCTGACCCCAGTGATGTGCAATTGCCTAACGATTTTTTAGAGGTGGTGTGGGTTCTCCTCACCTGAACTGCATTCAAGCTAGAGTCGAAGGGGGTGGGACTCTGGCAAGGAGGCCAGAGCATGGCTCCCCCTGGGTGAAGCCTCTGGAGAAGTTGGGAAAGTGCAGGGAGCTGCTGTGAGCCACAGAAAGCGGGTCTTTTCTCCTGGCCTCGCCTGGGTCCGCGCACGTGAGAGGCCTAACGATGTGATCCAGTCTGAACAGCACAGAATTGTTCTGTGAAATTCCCTCCTGGGAGGACCCGGATCCCAAATTGCAGAAAGCCAATAAAAAAGGTCACCTGGAGGCAGAGGTCCTGAGGAGCCCGAGGGCCAGAGGGCCCCTCACTGTCCAAGCTGGTGCCCAGCCCCGGCCTGGCCGGAGTAATCTTATCTGCACCACCGGGGACTGGGCGGGAGCACCTTCCTCCAGCTTGTTTGCACCCTGTCACCAGAGCACCCCATTGCCGGCCTTCAACGTGGCTTGTGTCACCCGCGCCCCCAAGAGCCATTTCTGCTGCAAGCCGCACCTTTGCTCAGAATCTTTGGGGCTCCTGCATGGGCAGGACCAGCCCGACTCCCCCACTGCCCACCCCCTTGCCCCTACCCTGGCCGCCAGCCAGCTTTCCTTTGTGGGGAGCTTGGGCTCAGCTAGATTCAGTGACCCTCCTCATGCCATATCATTGATCACCTCACCTCTCCATCTTTCCTAAACCACTGGCTTGGAAATCCCTCACCCTCCAGCTCCGGGGGCCACCCACCACCACCCTGTTGCCTTCTTGCCCTTCTTGTTGGGCGGGTGAGTTCTTGGGGGAAGGGGCATGGTGATCCCGGTCCGTTAGGCCCAGAGCTGTGCCCTTTCACAGAGGAGGCTCCACAAACATTTGGGGGCTTGAAAAGGCTGATGTTTGTCTCGGCTCGATGAGGGGTTCAGAAAAGCCTCTTGTGGACTCCTGTTCCCAGTGGTGGCCTCAGACCCCTGGTCTTGGTGGAGCCTGATTTATCACTACTGACTTCTGACCGTGGACGCACGGAAAACCCGCCTCGTGCTGGGTATGGTATCCGAGGCTGCGGGGCTCGGGCAGGAAGAACGTGGAGTGACACAACATACAGATGTGTGGCCTGGGTGCGGGATGAGGCGGGAGAAACCGGACGAGTTCGCTGGGATAGGAGCGGCTAAGGGGGTTGGTCAGGAAGAATCTTCCCGGTCTGTGATGGGGATTTGCCGACACGCTGCAGGCCGTTTCGGAGAACAGCAACCAGGCGCCCGAGCACGTGGCAGGCTCCACCACGGAGGGACTGACTTTGGGCCAGAGAGAGGGCCTGTTTTCTGCAGGCCGACTGCCACCCCGTGCAGACCACCCTTGGGGACGTCTAATTCTGGCTTGACCGCCAGCTCCCTGGGTGAGCTCAGGCCACCATTTGGAGGCAGCGAAATGCCTCGGGCCACTTGCCTTAGTTCACTCGTTGTGGGGGATACTAGGTTGATGAAGAAGGAGGCTGAGAAGTGGGAGGCACATCTCTCAGGAAAGTCCTCACATTGATCAGGAGGGACCTTCTGCCCCGGGGCTGGGGGTGGTGGATGAGTCCCTTTGCAGACC